GGACGAAGCTGGCAGGTCGCTGGGATGCAAATTGTGAAGGATTTAAATGTGACACCAAAGTGTTGAACTTATGACTGGATGGCAATTAAAGAATTTTAAACAGAAGAGTGGTGTCTGGTTTGCATTTCTGCAACATCGGTCGGGTGGAAATGTGGAAAGAAGTCTGGCTGGAGCAATCACGAAGCAAGCGGGGGCGCGACAGTCACAGCAATGCAGGCGGTGATGATGAGGATGGGAAGACAGGCAGGGGACTCCTGTCCTTTGAGGCTGGGAGACAGCAACGTCTCGTGGCTAAGGGATCCATTTCTTTGAGAATTTTAAACAGCATAAGCTATGGGCGTAGGTATATTGTACTACCCAGCAGGGGCAGATTCTTAACAGAGAGGTCAAAGGCTGAAGAGCATGAAAAATACTCTGTCAAGATGAACTATTCTGTGGGCAAATGACAGCGTGCTGCCAGAGACTGCTCCTGTGGAACTGAAGTGAGACAGCAGATTACCATGTAAGCAGGAGACAGAGAGGCTCGCTGCCGAGGACCAAGGACAGCGTGCAGGACAGCATGAGGTGCACCGTCAGACTTAAGTAGCTCTGATTAAGCAAAAGTGCCTTGCAGACTGGAGCACCAAGAAGCATAAGGACAGACTACAAAAATGAATCGATCATGGAACAGAAGGCATGAGGCTGCTGATAGTGGCTTGAGGATGATTATGAAGTTGCTAGGTGGCCTACATTCCAGAAAATTCACTTTGTGCCAAGTGCATTGAAATATCTTTCTCTGGTTGCATTTTGCTGCTTAAGACTGATCTGCTACTATTGCCTCACTCTTCTCTCTTTATGTATTTATGTATGTATGTATGTATGTCTTTATTTATTTGTTATTTGACACTCAATAAACCACAACTATTTGCTCAAAACAGGAATGCACTTTGTGATGGTGGGGAGAGTGGGGATAGAATAGAAGTCTGACTATTAAAATGACACATCATGTCCGGCAGGTGTGGCTCAGTGGTTCAGCATCAACCCATGCACCAAGAGGTCGCAGGTTCTGTTCCCGGTCAGGGCACATGCCCAGGTTGTGGGCCAGATCCCCAGTGGGGGGCATGCAGGAGGTAGCCTGTCGATGGTCTCCCTCATCGATGTTTCTATCTCTCTCTCCCTCACATTTCCTCTCTCTGTAAAATCAATGAAGGAAAAAAAAAAAAAAGACACATCATGATTTGGCCTCAACTGCCCTGCTTTATGCCTATCATCCAGCTTAATTTTTGATAGTTTCTCCTTTTACTCAAAAATTATTTTAGAGTAGTATAATAAACAATATGATCATCCCAAACATAATCTTTGTTCTTTATAAACATTTAGAGAGACAAAGGAATTCAAAATATATTTGAGGAGCAAAGGTCACATCATTCAAACATCTTCTGGACAAATAATGGATAAACCTTTTATTCTCTTTTTTGGGGAGAAAAATCACAGCTGGTGCCTGGGGCATGGGCTGTGGTATGTTTAATAAAGAAAGGTCAGAAAATGTTTTATAAGGAGATATTTTATAAATATTAAAAATCTTTTATTCAGAGGTCAGGGAATGTTTAATAAAGAGAGGCACTGGTACTGAGTGTGTAAGAATGAGGAAGGCTGGAGCACAAGGGAGCAGACAGAAGCACATTTAAGGGGGAAGAAGGTTTAGAGACAGAAAGCAGCACAGGTTGTGTGGGGGTGTATTAATACAACTCAGATTTGCCTCAGTGAAAGGGAAGGTACAATTGAGAAATAGTTGGTGGTCAATACATTTAACATATGGTCCTTAACAGACGCCCCGAATGAACGAATGGGTAGCCTGAGATACAGCTATCCAGGGAGGAAGCCTTCAGGAAGGGCCTGAAAGGGACAAACTGGCCTGCAAGTCAAAGTTGACCTAAAGTAGTGGTTTATTGGCCTATACAGTCTGTTAGCGTTCCCTTCAAGGCTAGTTGTTTTCATTGAGAATTACAGGACTTTACACAAAAGTATTTACTTCAAATTCCACTTTAAAATTAGCCCGGCTCGCCAAGCCGGTGTGGCTCAGCGGACTGAGCATCGTCCCAAGGACTGGGAGGTGTGGGTTCGATTCCCGGTCAGGGCACATGCCCGGGTTTCAGGCTTGATCCCCAGTAGGGGGCATGCAGGAGGCAGCCAATTGATGTTTCTCTCTCAAATTGATGTTTCTATCTCTCTCCTTTCCTCTTTCTCTAAAAATCAATAAAACATATTTAAATAAAATAAAATTAGCCTCCCTTCCTACAGGACAAATTGGCTATATTGAGGGAGGGCAACTGTCGCTTTGAAATGGGAGTGTGCACACTCCATCTCCACGGCTCCTCTTGACTGATCACCTGCTCTTCAAAGTGTGGTCTTAGACGTGGTACTTGGGAGCACAGTCAGGACCACAAGCTGACTGAATAGTCGAACTTCCTTGTAACTAATAATATATAACTAAAAGCGTCATATTTTCTCCAGCATATCTAAATAATGACAGCATAACGATAATCACGAAGCATATACTATGCCCCAGACACGGTGCAGAGCGCCTTTCAAACTCGTGAGGACTTGAGTCACAGCTCCAGGCGGTGCCAGCCGCTGACCTTGAACAAATTAGCTCATTCTCCAAGCCTTAGTGTTGGTTTGGGAAATGAGGGTGACCTATCATATCTCATATGGCGTTTGTGAGGATTAAATGAATGAGATCATGTATATAAGATACTGAACATAGCTCTTGACATACAAATAAGATCTCGTTCATTAAAATAATATTTTCAGATTTGAAATCTGGGCACTTGGAAAGCTGTGTAAGCTTGAGTTACAAAAGATCTCCAACCAAGAGACCAATTTTCATTGATTCTACTCACAATATATTCAACCCTCAAAGGAATTTTACTTTAAAGGGCAGGTTTTTAGTCTCAGGTCAGTAGTACAAATTTCTACGCACCTTCAAAGAATATTATGAAGGTAGATTTAGTAAAGACCTGGCATTATACACATTGTTTCGACAACTTTAGTATGCCCGACAATTACAATAATTATAAAAAAGGCATTGCTAATTTCACAGAAAGAGCTGCGTTAAAAATTCCCAGAAACTCACATGAAACAGCCTGTTTCTCTTAAGCACATGCAGCTGGTGTTCACAAACACTAGACTTTTAATACGAGTGTTTTCAGATGTTTAATCACAATAACCATCTAAGTGTAAAACACTATATCACTAACTTAAGGTAAAGGCAAGGAGAACTGTTGGTTTCCAAACTAAACTTAGGAAGAACTGACATTGGACAGCAGGCATGAACACTTCTCTGACACAGTGTGCCTAACTTCACCACAAGAGAGATAAACCGTAGAAAACAGAAGCCATGATGATGAAAAATGTTTGATTGGTAAGTGTTCCAGAATTAGAAGCCACTTATGTTCACCAATTACACAACAATTTTCTCATTTTTCATATTCCCCCCCCAAAGATATATGTACTTACAGTGCAAATTTACAAATATGGACTCCTACATGACCCTTCTCATACAAGAGTGGATTATATAAAATAGAACAATTCATTTGTTAGTTAATTAAGTCAAACAACTGTATTCCACAAACAAAAAGTCCGCTAGTTGTTTAATTGTATTAACTAGTTGTTTACCTAATGCAATATATTTTGTGGAGAGTCAAATTTCAAAAGTCCTTCATGCTTTTTGCAGTTTATTTCTAAAGGATTTCGATTTGACATTTATTCATAAAATGGTAATACTAGTTCACTGGGTGGCAACCATCTACTCAATATTAAGTATTGTGCTCATGTAACCATGTTACATCTTAATAACTTATTTATGAGATGAGCATTATTATTTCTATGTGAATGAGAAAACTCAGCCTCAAAGTCAGCAATTAGTAAGGAGCTAGAATTTCAATTCAGAACCATTTGGTGAATACTGGTTTGCATTCTTTTTAGAGTTAATCTTGAAAGTTTGGATAGGTTTTTGTTAATAAAATTGTCTAAACACATACAGTCAGAAAATCCATTAGATAATTTTCTTAAAGAGGCGATGTGTGTTGGCAATAAAAATAAAATATAGCAATTAAAAGTGTTAACTTTTCATCTGTTTTCCTCCAGCCACTAAAACAAAATTTCTTTTACAGAACAACATATATTTCCTCACTTATCAGAGTCTTAGGGAAAAAAAAATATAAGAGGTGAACACTGGAAATTACTTATGCATGGTGTTTTATTGGTATAGGCAATCTTTAATTTAAAAGTAGATCTAAAATATTTTGTCAAATATATCTGTGAAAATATAATTAATATTTTTAACAGAAGAAAAAATAAAATTTATAAAAAGTAGTTACTTTTTTTTTTGCAATGGCAAGTATTATTTCCTTCCGTACCTACAAAAGTTTCACATTTTGAATTTCAAAATATAGTTTAATGGTAAAACCAAATTACAAGCTTTCGTAATGTAATTATTTCATTTGCTGAATCATTATAATACCATATATATATATATATATATATATATATATATATTTATTATTCCCACCCAAGGACATTTTCCCATTTTTATTCAAATACAGTGGGAAAGGGAGAGAGAGAGAGAAACATCGACGTGAAAGGGACACATCGAGTGGCTGCCACCCGCACGAGCCAAACAGGGCGGGGGACAAACTGCACCCGAGGTACGTGCCCTTAGCGGGAACCGAACCCGGGTTTCTCTGGACCGCAGGCCAACGCTCTAACCAGCCAAATCAGCCAGGGCACCACCTATATTTTAAAGAAAATTGGTTTGACCATTGGAGAGACTGTCTCAATGATTAATTATTAATTCAAAGTTAATTGAGTGTCTTCTTTCCAAATATATTTGACTTTAACTGCAGATTAATAGGAAGACTCTAAGAATATTTAAAATCATTGAAGTTTTGAGCAATAAAATTAACAGAACCGTTTGAACAGCATTTCTCTTGCATTTAAAAAATAAAATAGTAACTTACTTGAAAACTGAATTGCAAATCCTGATTTACTGATATAAAAATCCGTGTCAAACTGGATGGTTACTATGTTGAGGGTGCTATGGATCCCTTCAGGAATAAGAGATCCACTAATTTCCTTTAAAAGCATCTCGTTTTCTGGTGGACCATCCCAAACTCGAAGTATATCATGTGATGCTTCCGTATCAAAAGCAAGAAACTGTAGGCTGTGGGAGAAACATACATCAGTTTGATTATTTTAAACATAAATTCTTTTTAAAATAAAGAATATAAAAAGTATATGTTTTTGCTCATATTAGTTAATCCACTTGTACTATCAGATAAAAATATAAAGAGCATATATAACCTTAAGAAATTTTTCTTGACTGTATAATTTATTTCTTTAAAAGTTGAGTAAATTTACTACTACATCACCTTTAAAAAGTACCAAAATTTTGGGTAAACATACTTTTCAGTGCTCATGAATTTCAACTATGTCAATAGCAGGTGACATTGAAGGAGGACCTGGTACACGCCAGGCGTTGTGCAAAATGCATTACATGTATATATTTAAACATTTTTTAAATATGTTTTTAGTGATATTTTAGAGAGAGAGGAGGGAGGGAGATATAGAAACATCGATGTGAGAGAGAAACATCCATTGACTGCCTTTTGCATGCTCCCTACTGAGGATGGAGCCCACAACCCAGGCATGTGCTCTGACCGGGAATTGAACTGCGACCTCTCAGTCCAGGGGACGACACTGAGTCCATTGAGCCACGCCGGCTGGGCAATGTATACTTATTTAGTTGTTATAATGACCCTATGAAACAGGTACAGTTTTTAATCTCAATTTTATAAATGTGTCAAATGGAGTTTAGCTAGATTAAATAAAACGGCCCAAAGGGTGGCAGAGTCCTCAACTGAACTAATTTTCTGACTGCATAGTATATATTTTTACTGGTGTTTTCTGTTGGTTTGCTTGTTTTATTAGAATCAAAAGATATTTATTCCACAAAAGCAAGAATAATTCACATTCAGAAACCAATCAATATGATCACAATGATTGATATAAGGGGAAAAAATTACATAAACTTTTCCATGTATACAGACAAAACTACTTTTAAAAATCCAACACTATAATGACATCCAACAATCTAGAAGTAAAAGGGAACTACCTTAATGTGAAAAACAATGTTTACCCATCCTCCTCAAAAATGGATAAAAACTAAAAAAAATAAAATAAAAATTCTGTTTTATATTAAATCTGTTCTGCTTTATATTTAATCTAGACAAAGGCAGTATCTGATACTTTTTGTGAATAGTGCTCAAAATTAGAAATCCAATTATATCAGCAGCTCAACTCGTTCTCTCTCTCTCTCTCTCTATATATATGTATATATATGTGTGTGTGTATATACATATATATAAAACACATTCATGTTTAATATGTGAATTGTCACAACTTTAAATTTGAGTTGCAACTTAATATCCAGTATTGTCCTTTAATTTTTAAAAAAACCTCAGAATTCTACTGAAATCAAGTTTTCTAATTCTAATATTTAAATAAAACATCGCATGATCTATACTAAATAAAAATGAGCTGAGGATTGATCTAGTGTAGTCTATTTTGAGTTCTGCGAACTCCCTTGCAAAAACGACATGCCAGTTTATACCCAACAACTTACCAGTTTGCATCCAACGATGCATTCAGTACAACTTTCAGCATACTTTTTGAACGACTATCCTTGTTTTCTATAACCACCTGCACCACCCAGAAGCCTGTCTGAAATTCCATTTATATATATAAAAAAAAATCAATTCTTAGGTTTAAAGTCATGGTTTCGTGCGCAATAACATACCAGCTCATATGTCAAGGGTGATTTGCTCATTTATTAATCCATTCCCAGCCATTACCCTGACACTTAACCTAAGACTGAGAGCATGTGACAGCCTCAGCAACCGGACTGTGGTTGATTTAGGAGGCAAGGGTTCTGCCCTCATCTGAGGGACAGCGGTGTGGAGAATGGTTACCCGCCTCACCACACTCAGCAGGAAAGGGAACTCAAACCTGGGTGAAGGGGCAGAGAGCAGGTGTTCCAGGGATATGCCTGGAGCCGTGGGAGGCAGGGAGGAGTTACTGAGTTTCCCTTCTATTCTGATTTGTTCTAAATGTTTGTGAGGCTAAACTTATGATAGTGACCTGGACAACTTTGTATACCTATCAGGATGGTGGACTCACTATCTCGAGTCATTAAGAATTAAATGAGTAGAGTGGCCAAGAAGCAGAAATTCTCACCCTCTTTGCCCTCTTATGAATATGAAAAGCGTCTCTCTATGGGGTTATATGAACTACCACAGTGGCCCATAAATCAATAAATTATGCTTATTAATACCTTTTTCATATGCTTAACAGATAAGAACCAAGTTTTTTCTTACCAAGGTTAAAAATTTTGAAAAATCTTCATGTTGATCAACATTGTACATAGGGGCTTCTCAGGAAATCCAGATCCCCTAGTAAGTCTGAGAAAATGAAATCCATTTACCTGACAATGTTTCCTGGATCTACCTCAATCATCCACATGCACCGCAGATTATTGTCGTAGGGAAAGGGATACCCCGGAGACAAGATTCTTCCTGATGACTCTCCTTTAAAACGACCTCCGCATTCAGCTAACAAAAAGGTAATGAAAACTTAACTTATAATTTAAAGCTAATCTTTCCTAAACAACCTACCAATTTCATATATATATATATATATATATATATATATATATATATATATTACCTTAAGGAAAATAAGAATTTATTTCCCCTTTTCTTCAAAGTATATATTTGCATACGCTTTCTCAGATTAAGGTATTAATTGAAGCAAGAGCATATGGAACAATAAAGCAAGAATGTCAAGTTAGATCACATAAAAGACAAGAAAATGAACGCAATTAGGGATTTTAAAAAAACACACTCAAAAACTCTCAGTTTAGGCTTCTAAACATTTAAAGATGTGTTGTTAAATAATGACAATTTAAAAAGGAGAAACAGATGGCAAGTTGCTCACTGTTAGTTGGTTGCAGGCTGAATAATTCATCATCTTACTACCCCACCTCGGAGAAAAACTAATAGTTTCTGCAGTCCCTCAGGCCCTTCTAAATTCCACTGTCCTTTTATTCCCTTTTAAATCACTCTAAACACTTTCCCTTTTAACCTCCCAAAAGTCAAAGCATCATTTTTTATTAGATTTCTTACTTCAGTTAAATCTAGTTTGGTTTTGATTTAATGTGGTCTCTGATTTTTATAAAATTCATTGAATTAAAATATATATATTGTCATATAATATAAGTAAATTTTTATTTTGGGGAGATTCCTCCCCATTTTAATACTATTTAATATACTGGGATGTCTGGTGTGATCTTACTTCGGTAAGCAGATATTCTAGAAAGAACTCAGTATTCCAGAAGAGAAAAACTAAATATTTTAGTTAGTATATTGCTCAACATCACTAAACCCTAGAAACAAGGAAACCTGTTTAATATGTTGCACCTTTGAAAATTCTCCAGCTTAGTTCCTACCAAAAAAGTATCCAAAACAAAATTTACTATTTGTTTAAATATTTGAAGACACTCTGATACCTTTCTTATTTTCTGTACTGTTTTTATCTTACTCAAAGTCAATGATTGAATTAATCTTCTTAGATTTTTTTTTTTTTTTTTTTTTTTATCTGTAGAGCAAAGGTCAAACACAAAGTTTTAGCATTTGGGAGAGATAATAACGGAATCTAACAGTTCAAATTTGAAGGCTCTATTCATATAGATAGATATGTTTCAAAGATTTTAGCTATTATATTTCACTACACTGTGATCATTAGATTTTTATGGCAATTTGGCTAGGCTTTAGGATCCAGTTATTTAATCAAACACTAGCCTAGTTGTTGCTTCGAAGTTATTTCATTATTGTGGTTCACATCTATAATCAATTGACAAAGTAAAGGAGATATTGTGGTTGGCCCTCATCCAATCAATTGGAGGGTCTTATGAGCAAAAACTGAATTCTCTAGAAAAAAAGAAATTCTCCCTCAAGACTGAAAAAAATTCTCCCTCCTTCCTGACCTTGTAGCCTTTTGGACTTGTCAGCCACCACAGATGCTTGAGTCAATTCCCTAAAATGAATCAATATCTGTAGAAAGATTATAGATATGTAGGCAGGTAGGTAGGTAGATTAGATAGATAGATAGATAGATAGATAGATAGATAGATAGATAGATAGATAGATCTACATCGAATATTCTGTTTTTCTGGAGATCCCTGACACACACTCACAGAGAACTAAGCAATTGTATTTTGTACTGCAACAACAATCAATTTAACTAAAAAAAAATTTTTTTTCTTTATTGATTTTAGAGAGAGATAGAAACATTGATGAGAGAGAACATCAATTGCCCGCCTCCTGCATGCCCCCACTGAGGATTTGACCCACATCTGGGCATGTGCCCCAACCAGATATCGAACCGGTGACCTCTTGGTGCATGGGTCATCGCTCAACCACTGAGCCACGCTGGCTGGTCCAGTCAATTTCATTTATAACAGTTTGTCATTTTTCAGTAAATAAGAAGATATCATTATTCAAGATGTCACAATCACTTGTGGTTTTTCTCATCTTTTAACAAAAACTTTGTTGAACACCTAGAACTATATAACTATATTAATTCATTTTTTCATCATTTCTTATGATTTATCAATATTATTGGCATGGATTTATTATGCAAACAAATTTGATATTTCATTTCTCCAGATTAATTTTTAATCAATTGCGGGGCAGATTGGAGTTATGTGCACTAGGTTGTATCTTGAATTTAAACACAGCTCTTTTCTCTCCATATGTCTTTGCTACAAACATTGCATGGTATTTTAACTTCCAATGAACCAGGGTGGTATGCCATAGGGCTAGAGTTCATGTCTGTGAAAAGACTTATGCTTGCAGCATAAAAATGAAATAGTGCTTTAAAAGAGTGTACTGTTTAAATCCCTCCAGCTATGGAGCTTAAAAAATTATGTTTATTTGATCAATGCATAAGCTTCAGAAACTTAATTATTTAGAAATAATCAATCTAGTACAGAAAATGTTTCTTATTTGACAGAGGCAAAAATATAGCCATATAAATATTTAAGGTTGAAAAGCACAGAGAAGTATCATCTTAGGCCAGGTGGTAAAAGCTATTAATTGTTGCCAATAGAGAACACTATCTAAAACAGAATCTCATCTTCTGTCATCATGGAAATCATCAGCATGACACCACATGTGTCCAACTGTTTTTCAGTTGTTATTCCTGATCATCCATCATTAGAAAAAAAAATCAAACAAACAAAAACAACTTTACCCTTCTCATGAAACTTTGAGCAGTATCAAGTCACTAAGTTTGTCTTGGGATATTTGTAAATATAAAGTGCATTGATTTGTTGCAAACATAATTAGAATCTTCATCTGATCTCAGACCAAATGTCATTCCATGTGTATAAAATATTTCCAAAAAATAAAGAATGTCTTATGCTTGATTCAATACATAGAAAATACATGGTTTTTAATGTATTTGTTTTGTGATTTTAATTTTAGGACAGCATGCAAGTCAGTATTTACAAGTTTGCAATTTCGTGTTATTGTAACCCTTAATGATTTTCTAAATATATTTTTTTATACACATCAAAGAGTACAACCTCAGAGAGAAGTAATCAATGCTACATTTTTCTCATAACCACTGCTAGTGGGCTGATTATTGGTCATATTCCAGAATCCCAAGCTTTATCAATTTTGGTGGATTATTGTTTTAGATATTACCCCCATAATCTATTCAAAATTCAGATGCCACCTGAAAAGAAAGGACTAAAGTTGCATTTACTTAGATAAAAACATGTTTGCTTTCTGCATGGATCTATGTTTTAATAATCCAATAGACATCCATGGCATCAAAAACACTTTACAGTTTCTCCTAAGGCCTCCAATGACTAAAATCCTATTTTTTAACAATGTGTATTCTAGCAAGGTTTTGTGAACATTCCTATGTTAACCAGACCAACTAACAAAGCTTAAACTTTGTCTCAATTTATCCACGAAAAATGGGGGAACATCTATAATACTTTCAATAATACAGATAAAAACAAACAAAAACAAAAAACTTTGTCTCAAAAGGTTCAAGTTTCCAAACTGTTCAAACTGTACACATCACATATGTGCAATTTATTGGATATTAATTATACTTTAATAAAACTATTTGGGAAAAAAATATTTAGGTCAATTTAATCCATATGGACCTGGTACAGAATAAATCTGTGCCTCCATAAATGCCATCACAAAATAAGAATGACTGCAGAGACACTGAATGTTTGTTGCCTACTAAGGAGTTACTGTTTTGTTAAAATGTTGGGGTTTTTGTTGTTCTTGTTGCCTTACTATTCCAATCTGGCACATATTTGATTTTGGGGGCAAAGAAAAAAAGCAGAGGTCTTTACAACTCTTCTCTGTCCACTCTCCCACCCACACATGCCTAGTATCCATTAACTGATCTATCAGATGGTAGAAAATAATCATTCTCTAGCTTCCTGTTAGCTCTATGTCCGATGTCACTCTCATGTGAACCTCACAGACACTGCTCAATTATGTTATACTACATACACATTTAAAAAAGCATATGCACTTTCTTAGATTTTTGAAAAGGTGAGTATATAAACAAAGTCTTTTTAAGTAATTGAGAATAGTTTACTGTTTTTAATCTACCTTAATAGCAGGATAGACAATGTTCTTTTTATATAAAACAAATCTTTTTACTGTGATTTAATAAATGTATATGATTAAGAGTCTTAATATCTTTCATAGTGAGTAAAATTTTATATCAAGATAAGAGAAATAAAATGACTCCATGTTGTACCAAGAACGTACTAATGAATAAAATTATTAAAAGAACCTCTTCACTTTCCATTAATATTCTTCTGACAAATTTGAGTTTATTAACTTCTTTTTTTTAAGGTTTTGAGAAGAGTATATTTCTTAGTAATATATTTTATAAAATTTTATTAACTTTATTGGAATAACATTGGCTAATAACCTTATATAAATTTCACATGTACAATTTTATAGTACATCTGTATACTCTACAGCAACATGGGTGAATCTTATGAACTAAGTCAGACAAAAAAAGGACAAGAACTTACAATTTCATTCAGATGTAGAATATAAAACAAAAAGCAACAAATGAGCAAGCAAAATAAACATACAAAGCAACTAAAAAAAAAACCACAACACAACAAAACAAAAAACCGAACTGACAGATACAGACAAGAGAACTGTGGTTATCAGAGGAGAAAAGAGGGTGAAGGAAAGGCGAAGAGGGTACAGGGAGTGAAATGCACGGTGACTGAAGGAGACTAGGTTTTGGGCGGGGAGCACACATTAACTTCTTGATTTAAGGAATGAGTTGCGTGTTGACAGATGGAATCACTTGAAAAGGCACAGTGTATTTTGGTGGCTCTTCCATAGAAATACTTCATGACAATGGACACGAGTATCTTACCAATACAGGAAGGCAGAGGGTAGTCCCATGCCCTCCTTTCCCCCGTCATGCACTTGAGAAGGCTACTCCCATGGAGAGTGTAGCCTGGGTTGCACCCATAAATGATAGTGCTCCCAGCAAAGTGGCCTTGGTCACTGATCTTGTATCCAAATTGTGGAACGCCAGGATCTTCACAATGTGAAAGTTCGAAACCTGTGAGAAGAACAGACATGTATTCAAGGTGAAATTTAACAGAAAAATTTAAAACCTTACAAATCATTTATTCCTCATATTTTTATACAGTTGCATACTCTTTCCTAGTTGTAGTTCTTCTGCCATATTTAATTTTGGCAGGTACGCAACAGCCACAGAGAACTTTTCTGTTTCTCGAAAGTTAGAATTGCTCGTATTTTTCAAATGACATCCCATGGTCTATGTGACCGCATCCCAGTTTGTTATAGTACTAAGCTTCCCGAGTTTTGCAGCTAATAAAAGATCTGACCATTATAACTACTGGGATTATATCATCAAACATTTTAAACTCATACTAAATATCTGAAACCATAACTGTCCAAATAACAAATATTTTTTTTGTTATTTGCAAACATGAATTTAGACTGCTTTGCCCTGGTTGGTTAGGCTCAGCAGTCAGAGTTGGTTGCAGGTTTGATTTCAGTCAAGGGTATGAACCTGAGTTTCAGGTTCTATCCCTGGCCCCTGGTTGGGATCATGCAGGAGGCAACCAACTGATGTGTCTCTCTCACATGGATATTTCTCTCTCTCTCTTTCTCTCTGCCCCCTCTCCCTCCCTTCTTTCCACTCTATCTAAAACTCAATGGAAAAATATCCACAGGTGAAGATTAATAAATAAGTACATTTAGACTGCTTCACTTCTATAGTCTTAGAAGAACATGAAATAGTTTCATATTTAAAATATACTTTATCAAGAGACAATATAACAGGAACCAGCTTGAAGAACTCTGAACTGTCATATTCTGCCTTCTCCAGAAATTTACAGCTCTGAAAACTGTTCACAGACAGGAAAGTAATAATAATACATGTTCTTCTTCCTATCTCATGTCAGTCCAGGGACACAGGAGGCTGATTGGGCCTCTGGGGAGATGTATTTCCATTACAAAGGTTAGAATAAAAACCCAGGATTCTTTCTATTCAGCAAACTTTTTCTCTCCCCTTTCCAGACAGGAGGAGACAGCTACTTTAAAGGAAGCAAGACTATTTTTCTCCATTCCTTGGCCCTGTCTACTTGGGTAGATTTTTCTATCTGATTTTCTTCTTGTTACTAAAGGGTTAAGGTCTGGGTCAAAGGGGAGCTGATATGGTTATTTTTGTTGTTATTACATTATCTTAATGATAACTTTGATCTCTTGAGAGCCAATATACCTTGTGTGCACATTCTGAATACAATTAATAAAGATGGACATTAAAAGCTGAACAATCATAGCACAATGAACTGTTAAGATTCTGAAAGAACTAGAAAAGATACTCCATAATTTAAACCAAACATAACACTAGTAATAAAAACATAAAATTCCTAGCTATGGAGTTTTTTCATCTTTAATGTCTTACAAAGAAAGATAATGAGGTACAAAATCATGTCAATTATGACTTCTGAGACTAGAGGGTGATAAAGAATATTCTAGGATAGCATCATGCATGAAGGAAATCTGTAATTTCAAGACAAATGATGTTGGAGACAAGGAAAACTTTTTTGTCTAAAATGATATGAAAATCAAAAATAGATTTGTGTTTTTATAGGCACAGATCCTTGAGCAAATGAGTCTAGATTTGACCTAGAAAGCAAAAAGGCATGAATTAGCCCTGGCCATTTTGGCTTGGCAGTTAGAGCATCAGCCTGACCACCAGAGGGTCCCCAGTCTGATTCCAGTCAAAGGCAAGCACTTGGGTTGCATGTTTGATTCCTGGCCTGGGTCAGGGTCCTGCTGGAAGCAGCCAATCAATATCTCTCTCACATCAATGTTTCTTTCTCTCTCTCCCTCCTCCCCTCCCTTTCCACTCCATATATGAATTAGTTCACTGATGTCAAAGCACTAATTTACACCATTGGCTTTTTAGAGTATCCAAACATATATAAAACCACCAAAACTTGTAAGATGGAAGTAAAGAGTTTATACTCTAATTTCTGTGTGTTGAGTAATACATTAGCTCTTGGAGAACAAAAGGTTCCTTTCCTAGTCTCAAGGGGGTCTTAATCATTCCCTCCAACGTTTACCCACATAATTACTCTGCACATTTAATTCATTTACAGTCATTTGCTTGTTTCCATTGGAACTGAAATGATTTCATTTTGTTTCTCTTTCCCACAGTACCCACCCAGCACAAATCCTAGCACATAGCTGATGTTCAGTAATGCTTGTGAATGAATTTGCATTCTTAGAGGCAATTATTTCTAGGAGATAAATCACAGAACTTATATGCATGTATGTATGAACAATGGACACAGACAACAAAGGTGGGGACAGGGTGGGGAGGGAGGGGGAGGGGGAATCAGTGGGGGGGGGAAGGAGAAATATCTGTAACAAAAATAATTAATTAAAAAAAAAGAAACTAAAATAAGTCTGATGAGAAACTAAAATTTCTGAGACAATTTAAAAAATACGTCTTTAGAAATTTCCCTTAAGGATCAGTTTGTGACAGCCCAATTTGGGTGAAAATATATTAAAATGAGGCGAATTCAAGCAGCTTCAGAGACAGAGCCATATAAAAGGTTAGAAGTTGTAAACTCAAGTGGTGACTTACATGTATAAAACAAGGTCTAAAGGATACATGATCAGGCAGGTCAGTCTTTCAAACATAGAAGTAGAAACAGCAGAACTTATAACTTTAAAATTCCAGGGCACATTACGTTGCATGGATTTGCATACTTTATAGTTTAAAGTGTCCCTGTTCAAAAATTGCAAGATCGCATTCCTCTGCCAGACATAATATTCAGTTTATCATTCATGATGCAGCTACTTTTGAGTTTTACCGTATATCATTAATCAAAACAAAACTGGAAATCAAGCTTTCTTTTCCAGGTTTATTACCAAATTCATCTTTCCTAATTTGAGTGCTCTGTAAACGTGGCTGGCAATTGCTGGTGATGAGGTAAAATGGATATATTCTTTGTGAATTAAGATGATTTATAATACTTTGCATTGTAGATGAAAATGCATGTGGACAATAGTACCTAAAGTACAGAGCACAACATAATTTAGTCCTGTTTGGTGAAATTATTGTTGCTTATTCATAAATATTCAGAACCGTCTTATCTTTATGGAAACATTAGGCTGCCAGTCTTTTCACTGAAAAGCTCAAATTCTTGAAACTTACAATTAAATAAAGAATTGTATAAAAAAATCTTATATGCTATAAATATTCCCCAATCCTTGTGAAGTTTGATAGTCTGATAAAACACAAATTTCTAGAGCACTAAAATAACTGAAAAAACCCCCATTACCTGAATCCTTTTGACTTGCTAAATAACTTACATTGAGATATCATTCCTTTCCTGTCACCATGTAGTGTATTTCTTTTTTAAAAAAAAAATATTTTATCTTTATTGATTTTAGAGAGAGAGGAAAGGAAAGAGAGAGAGATAGAAACATCAGTGAGAGAGAACATTGATTGGCCGCCTCCTGCATGCCCCCCACTGGGGATCAGGCACAACACCTGGACATGTGCCCTGACCAGTAATCGAACTGGTGCCTCTTGGTACATGGGTCGATGCTCAGCCACTGAGCCACACCGGCCAGGCCATGTAGTATATTTCTTTAAGGATTTTTAATTTGGTTTTGAGTTATAATTTGAAATCTACAAAGGCATACAAAGGACAATATAACTTTCCCATCTCACTCTATCACATGCTAGGATCACAGTGACTTCAGGTGAATATTAATTTTAGTTCAGATTCATCTTCAGATTAATACTCATAGTAATTGATTAATACTCACATTAACATTATTATTAAAAGAACCAATATTACAAAACAAGTCAAAGTTCCATTTGTGTCCCTCCTCAATCCCTTTATGGTCTTTCCCTAACCAGAGCTAGCAAATATTCCGAATTAGTTACCATTATCACACATATTTATATATTTTTAACCCGCATCTATATGTCTAGGGAAAAGGTATGACTTTTAAGTATTTATACATTTTATTAATTATAAAATTATGCTTTGTAAGTTCTTCTGAGGCCTCTTTTATTGCCCAGCATTGTCTTTTTATCTTTATATTTGTACACACACACACAATGCTCACCCATTGTATTCATTTTAACTCCTCTGTGGAATTCCACTGGAGGACTATCCCAGAACGGACTTATTTATTCTCCAGCTGATGAGCATTTATAATGTGTCCAATTACAACTGCTACCAAAGGTCTGTTCTGCCATGTCCCCTTTCACAAGTGTGAGTGTGTTTCTATAGAGCAAGCACCATGTCAGGATTCAAGTTCATTTTGTCTTTAAGATAGAATCAAAATCTGTGAATCTACTATTTAACTTCTGCCTTGACCTACTGAAAGACCAACAGTTGAATCCCTACCTCAACATAATTCCTGTTCAATTTGTTTATGAACAACAACTGTCTATTCACATGTCATGTCTGGTCAGCAAATCAGTACCCATAGTCCAATAAGGCAGATGGCTTGGAAACATAAGTGATATCGGAAAACTCACTTTTAAAATGTAATTAGCATTTTTTATGTAACTTAGAACAAAGGTCCTTAGGTGTTTTATTTTTTAAAATTCAGTTCAAATGCAAATATACATTTATTATTGTTAAAGTTAATTTTGGAGTATTAAACAGTGAATAAAGGTAAGTAATTTTATGTAACAAAAGGAAGAACTTTCAAATTGGTAAGTAAAGAGGGAAGTAGACTGTTAAGAAACTGAGAAAGTATGTTAGCTAAATATATTAAAGAAACATATCCTTTTTGAAACCCAAAACATTAATAAAAGTACTTTTTTTTTTCATTTTAAATGAGATACAATTAGCTTATGACATTTTACTAGTTTCAGGTATGTAATATAGTTATTCTATATTTGTATATACAGTATTGTGTAATGATCACCACAATAAGTCCAGTTAATATTCATCACCACACATAGTTACAATTATTTTCCTTGTGATTAGAACTTTTAAGATCTACTCTCTTAGCAACTTGCAAATATACAATACAATACAATTAACTATA